GGGTGGGGGGGGGACACAGCTGGGCACAGGTGGGCTCCAGGGACCGTGAGCCCCCCCCCAGCTTTGCCAGGGGCTGGATTTTCACCCCCTGCCCCTCTCCTCCCCACGCCCAGCAGGCAAAATCCCTGCGGCCCCGTGCAATATAAATGGAAATAATGCCCGGCGCACGGCACAGGGAGGGGGGGGCTTCGCCCTCACCCCCCCACAAACACCAAGGACCCCACCCCAGTGCTCCCAGGGGCTCACCGGTGACGGGAGCGGGACGAGGGGAACATCTTGCGAGAGAAATCCCTGTTTTTTGTTTTTTTTTTTTTTTGGGGGGGGGGTATGGGGAGGGGGCGATCCCCCATCAGCGAACAGATGCCAAGCCCCCCGCACAATGGGATTAGCGTGCGGCACGTGGCCGGCCCTGAAAGGCAGCGGGGCCGCCAGACAATGAAGCTCGAGGGTCACCCAGGCGTTGGGGGGCCACCGAGCACGGGGGGGACGTCACCGCGTGTGTCCCCCCCCTCCCACCCCCAAATGGTGCCCGACGCCCCTTTTGTGGGGCCGAACCTGTTGGAGCCATCTGTCAGGGAGGGGACGGCGGCGCGGGGCAGTGGCAACAGGCAGATTTATTGGCCTCAAGCTGTTCCCCCTGCCCAGCCCAGCCCGGCGCTGGGAAGTAAGCCACGAAGCCCCTAATGAATTAATTTAATGAATTAATTAGTATGCCCCCCCCCCCCCCCCCCACCACCTAATCCCAGGCTGCCAAGAGACTTGATGGCGAGCGCCCTCGATTAACGCGGAGGGTCCCCGAGAGGCGATGGGCAACGGTCCCGGCAGCAGGGGGGTGGCTTTTGGGGTGCCACCCCCTGGCCATGGGGAGAGCGAAGAGCCCAGTACCGCAATGGTTTGTACTGGGGAGCAATGGGGGAGAGGGGAGAAGCGGTGCTGGGGGAGGCGCTCACTGCCCCAGTGCCTGCCCGGTGCAGGCGAGGTCCGTGCGGGGCTCCCCGGCTCTCTCCTCTTTAATTAATCCATTTTTGTGTTTTCTTCTTTTTTTTTTTTTTTCGCCCCCCTCTCGCCGTCCGGAGCTGGAGGCAGAAGCCCTGGGCCCCTTCCCTCTTGTCTGAGCAGCAGCGAGCTCAGACGGGCCCCTTCTGGCCCTACCAGCAATTAATTACTCCCCCTCGCACTCTCATTACAGCCGGGGGGGGGGGGGAAAACGCAGCCCCCAGCGCCCACCCCGAGCACCTGTGTCAGAGCCAACGGCACCCAAAGCCCCCCCCAGCTCTGCTCCTCAGCCCAGCACCCGGCCGGGGGGGGGGGGGTGACACCCAAGGGTGAGCCCCCAGTGGGTGCTGGGGGAGCGTGGGGCAGGGTGCAGGGCAAATTGGGGAGGGCATCCAGGGGTGCTCATCTGGGGGTGCTTGTCCAGGGGGTGCTCGTTTGGGGCTGCTAAATTGGGGGTGCCCATCCTGGGGGTGATAATCTGGGGGTGCCCTTCTGGGGGTGATTATCTGGGGGTGCCCATCCAGGGGTGATAATCTGGGGGTGCCCATCCAGGGGTCCTTAGCTGGGGGTGTTCACCCAGGGGTGCCCATCCTGGGGTGCTTATTTGGGGCTGCTCATCCAAGGGTGTTCTTCTGGTACCACCAGAAGATGGTCACCTTCTTGGGGTGCCCATCCAGGGGTCCTTATCTGGGGGTGCCCACCCAGGGGTGCCCACCTGGAGGTGCTCGTGCAGAGGTGCTGGTCTGGGGGTGCTCACCCCAGGGGTGCATTTTTAAGGGTGCCCGTCTGGAGGTGCCCACCCAGGGGTGCTCAACCAGAGGTGCTCATCTGGGGGTGCTCACCCACAGAAGCCCACCTTGGGGTGCTCTTCCAAGGGACCCCCCCCCCGGGGTCACCTACCCTGGGGACCCCATCTGGAGGCACCCATCTGGAGGCGCTCATCTGGGGGTGCTCACCCACAGAAGCCCACCCTGGGGTGCTCTTCCAAGGGACCCCCCCCCCGGGGACGCCCACCCTGGGGACGCCCACCCTGGACAACCCACCCTGGGGACCCCCCCCACATCCCCACCCCCGGCTGCTCACCCACAAACACCCACCCAGGGATGCTCAGGGACCCTCCGGGGAGCACCCACCGGGGGGGGGGGGTGCCGGGGGTTGCCGTCGGGGTCCCGAATGGGGGGGGGGACAGCGGGAGGAGCCGGGCTCGGTCACCTCCCCAAGAAGGAGGAGCCACCGGGGGGGGGGAACCACGACCGTGCAGGAGCCGCCGGCAGCGGGGAGAGCTTCAAAACCGCCCGACAGCGGAGCTGTCCCCGCTCCCGGTGTCTCTCCCGGTGTCGCCCACGGTGCCCCCCCCGGTGCCACCGCCCGTCCGCCCCCCCGGGGTCGCCACCACCATGCGCCCGGGCAAGTGACAGCGGGGACTCGCTGCGGTGCCCAGGTAAGGGCGCACCGGGACCCCCCCCGGGGGACACCCCGAGCATCCCTCCGACCCCTCCGACGGGATTCCGTGTCCCCCCCCCCGCCACCCAGCCCTGTGACCCCCCCCCCCCCTTGACTCTGTGGCCGTCGGGGTGGGATCGGGTCCCCCCCACGCCCCCCAAATCTTTTCCCCCAAGCACGTCGGGGCCGCGCTGTGGATCGGGATGGAGGTGGGGGGGGATGGAGGAGATGCCCCAGCCTCCGGCTTTTGTTTCTCGGGTCCTGGGGGGGAACAGAGCCCGAGGGGGGAGGCCGGGGGGGGTCCCAGTGCTTTTTCCCAGCGAATTTTGCCCGGGGCCAAGAACCCAGCAGGGAGGGAGCCTCCACAGCTGAGACCGGGGAGCTCCTGGCTCCCCCCAGCCTGGACCCAAAAACTTGCCCCCTTCTCTCCCGCAGCCCCACATCCCAGGAACGGGATGGATTTGGTGTCTCCCAGCACCCCCCGGCCCCCTCCCACTTTTCCAGGGGTGTTTGGGTGCTGCAGGGATGCTCTTGAGCAGTTTTAGTCCCCCCCAAAAAATCCATCGCATCCCTTCTTCTCTGCACCAGTTTGGCTAATGGTTGGACTGGGACCACCAAGAGTGGGACTGGGCTGGAGAAGCTCCTGGGGCCAGGACTCAGAGGCACCAGTGGTCCCATGGCCATACTGGGGCTGAAGGAGCAGCCGAGGGGTTTTTAACCTCCCTGGCAGCCAGAGCCCAGCGGGTCCACGGAGAGCCGGACCCCATCCCACTGCGTTCCCAGGCAGGGCACGGTGCAGAGGTCTCGGGTAAATCCTAATTTTCCTGGTCCTCTTGCCTTGCCTGGTCCCTCCTGCCCCCTTCCGTGCTGAATTCCCGTTTTGTGCCTGGATCTTGTGCTCCCAGACCTTTCTTCTGCTTGGAAAGGAAAAGGAATTGATCCTACTTGTTTTGGGATGAGAGCCCGGTGCCCCGTGACACAAAGGGAGAACCAGGAGAGCTCAGGAGAGCCGAGCCGTGGCAAATTGAACATCAAGTTTTTGGCTTTCTCCTGCAATGGGTTCCTGGGGGTTCATTCATTGTGGGGTGGAGATGTCCAAAAGGAAAGGTGTCCCAGCAAAACAGGCTGGAAAAGCCTCCCACCCGCAGTGGGTTCCTCGTCTTCCTTGGGAAACTGGGAAGTTACTCCACCAGGCAATTCCCTTTTTGTCTACCTTTCCCCCCATAATTTATTATTATTTTCTTAATTATTTATTAAATCTATAGTCTGGAGAAAAAGCGAGAGCAAAATCCCCGCGAGCTCAGGCTGGAAATCGTTTCCAAAGAGGCAACCTCCTGACACCCCCCCGTGGGAATACTGCCCTGCGAAGTGCGGGGAAGGGGGGGACCAGCTGGTCCTGCCTCTCGCACAAAGCCCCAAATCTGGCGATTTTTCACCAATAGCACCCAAATGGGAGGGAATTGTGGTGCAGGGGACGAGCGAGGGATGGGTGCTGAGGGCAGGGGTGCAGGGGCAGGTCTCCGAGGGTGAAGGGAAAGCAACCCTCGGGCTCACAGCCCCAGAACCGTGGTCTGGAGGGGGGGTCTGAGTGGACCTACAGCCCTGTCTGGTGCAAAGCTGTGGTCCTCCCAGGGTGCTGGTAGAGGATATTTGGCCCCTGCTCCCTCCCAGCTCAGCCAGCCCCATAAATTCATCCCCAAAATGTTCCTCCACCACCTCGGCTCCCCGGATCTCCGAGCATCCGACCGCCTCCGCTTGCTTTACCCGAGAGTTAATTGGGGCCACACGGTCCTCCCGGGATGCGGTGGCTGGGCAGAGCAATTAACACCCTAATCCAGCCCCCGAGCCCCATCACGCATATTAAAAGTGGGATTTTCCACGTGGGGTGGGCTCGGCCAGCACACTTTCAGCAAAGCTGCTTAGAGGCTAAGCTTTATTAAATGAGGCAGGCGCGGTGACAGGATCTGGGGGGGGGATTAACATGAAACCCTGGCGGCTTTGTGCAGCGGGACGGCGCTCGTTAGGGCAGAGGGAAACGAAGGTGAAGGCAAATGTGCCCAGGTTAGGGCAGGAAAAGCTCCAGGGATGGCTCAGCAGAGGGACCTTGAGTTTTTCAGGCTTTCTTTTGCAGCCCACAAGGTGGGATCGGGGCTGAAGCCACGAGGATGGGGCTGGACCAGGGGGAAATCAGGCTCCAAGGCAAACCCCTGGGTGGGAATAACCCCAAAGGGAATTCCTGGAAGTCCCCAGGATAAAGCTTCGGTGGCTCCTGGCTCAACGTGTCGGCTACGGGACTGAGAGCCCCATAAAAGTTGTCTGAAACTAAGCCTTTTGGTAGAAAAATCGTAACTGTGGTGCCTTGTGCTGGGTGCCACACATCACAACGATGGGCACGTAACAAAAATCCCTAGAAATTGCTGTAGGGACAGACAGACAGATTCCACAGGCACCGCTGGAGGACAGACAGCAGTCAATGCCTCCGGCAGATGATTTTGTGCTGGGTTCCTAAAGCTCCCGCTGGGATTCGTTAACTTCTTGTCCCCTTCTTGCAGAGCTCAGGGATGACGAAGACGTACGCCAAGCCCAAGGAGATGGCGGAGCTCCTGAGCACCCAAGCCTGGATGGGCGAAACGCTGAGCTCCAAAGGCGAGCTGAAGGAGGAGGACGGCAGGCAAGCTCCCTTCGGCTTGGTGCCGGGCTTGAACGAAGAGCACGACAGCATCGAGGAAGAAGAGGAGGAAGAGGACGACGGGGAAAAGCCTAAAAGAAGGGGACCAAAGAAGAAGAAGATGACCAAGGCGAGGCTGGAGAGATTCAGAGCCCGGCGGGTGAAGGCCAACGCCCGCGAGCGCACGCGGATGCACGGCCTGAACGATGCCCTGGACAACCTGAGGAGGGTGATGCCCTGCTACTCCAAGACGCAGAAATTATCCAAGATCGAGACCCTGCGGCTTGCCAGGAATTACATCTGGGCTCTGTCGGAGGTGCTGGAGACGGGGCAGACCCCCGAAGGCAAGAGCTTCGTGGAGATGCTCTGCAAGGGCTTGTCGCAGCCCACCAGCAACCTGGTGGCTGGCTGCCTGCAGCTGGGGCCGCAGACCCTGTTCCTGGAGAAGCACGAAGAGAAATCCCCGGTGTGCGACCCGGCCATTTCCAGCCACTCCTTCAGCTACCAGTCCCCGGGGCTCCCCAGCCCACCCTACGGGTCGATGGAAACCCACCTGCTGCACCTGAAGCCCCCGACCTTCAAGAGCCTGGTGGACGCGTCCTTCGGCGCCCACCCCAATGACTGCACCACTCCCCCCTACGAGGGGCCCCTGACGCCGCCCCTGAGCATCAGCGGGAACTTCTCCCTGAAGCAAGACGGGTCCCCAGACCTGGATAAATCCTACCCCTTCATGGCCCACTACCCCTCGGTCGGCCTGGCGGGCGCACACGGACACGGAGCGCACTTCCAAAGCGCGGTGCCCCGCTACGAGCTCCCCATAGACATGAGCTACGAGTCCTACCCGCACCACGTGGCCGGGCCCCAGCTCAATGCCATCTTCAACGAGTAGCCAAGCAGGGGCAGACCCAAACTCTGGGGACAGGGAGGCGTTCGGCCGAGCTGGTTTTGGAAGGACACAGCCGGAGCGAGACCCCTGAGCATCTCCGCAGGACAGCGCTGCGCAAGGCGCCGCTGGCCCTCCCGTCCTCCCCACAGCCCGTGCCACCTCGCCGAGTTTCAGAGCTGCTCCCAGAACCCTTCCTGAGATCTGAGCCCGGATTGCAGACCCGTGAAATGCCCTCAATGCCTTCTCCAGGCGTGGTGGGAAAGGGGTTTCAGGCACCTCCAGCTGGGGACGGGGCTCTTGTCCACACAGCTCTCCTGCTGCGGGCTCTGGAGCCAAATCCTGCTCGTGGTTCAGAGCCTGGGTGCTGAGCTCCACCACCGGCCACAGCCGGGCTGCTGCTCCCCTCTCCCTCTCCCCAAGAGATGCTCCCGGAGGTGGCTTCGCCCTGCACGTTTCCAGCACCAGGGACAAACATTTGCTGAGCCCCCAGAGCTCAGCTCGCCCCCTCCTCGGGGTGGGAGCCCCAAGCCCCTCCGGCCCCTCAGGTTGCCCAGTTCCCCTCCCAGGGCAGCTCCAGAGGTGGGAATGATGTGGGCCACCCCCAGAAGACCCCTGGGGCTGCTTCCTACCCGAGGGAGACCCGTGCCACCGTATCTGCCCTATTAAGATCTCCGTGATGGTCCCTCCTTGGCTCATCCCCGCTGCCCTGCTCCTCAGCCTCAGCCCTCGGACCCAAAACCAGCAGGCGACGGTCACGGATCGTGGCACCTCGCTGCAGGATGCTTGGCCCTTCAGAGCACAAATATCCCGGACTCGAGAGCTGAAACAGGAGCCACCGGGGCCGCGTCTTCTTCGGGTTTGTAGAGTACCTGCCACGATCCGCGTTCCCAAGACATCCTGCCAAAAGAAGCGTGTCTTAATTCCCTGTTTTATTTATTATTTACTTGGGGTGGGGTGCGTGGGGGGGTGCGTGTCTAATTTATTTCCCTCTGTTTTTTTAATGTGCTGAAGAACCTCCTCATTTTCCGGTTGACTTCCAAGTGCTTCGTTGGAGTTAGCTTTGTGGAGACGTGTGGTTTTTGCAGTGCCGTTGCTCCAGGATTATTTATTAGCCATTATTTATTTAATTTATTTCCCTCCTGCCCCGGCGGTCTGTCTTCTGGTGACTGAACCAAGTACTTTAGCCGAGGGCTTGCATATTTAATGGTGAACTCCATATTTAACGTTGCCGTTTCTCGTCTTTTGGATGGTGCCCAGCAGCTCCCGACTCGTCCCCTGTATTTCTATGAGCAATAACTTTTAAAGGCTATGCAACTATTTTTGTTTTCAAGAAAATGCAGGCAACTATTTTTGAAATCCCCACTGGCCTCGCGAGCCCGGCTGGCCAAACCTTACTCTTTTACCGAGGTGTTTTGTACAGAGTTGGGAATTTGGAGATGATTTGCGCTCCGGAGGTCCCTGCCCAGCCCCTGGATCCCGGGGCTTGTTTCCTTTTGTACTGAGAGCAAATGTTTATCCTTTTGTAAAGAAAGCAGAATTGGGTTTTTAGCTCAAATAAAGTCGTGGTCTTGTTTGAAGCAGCATCACCGCGGGGCTGTCGTCTCCTTGTCTGTGGTCCTCAGCGTGGTGACGCGGGCTGCCTGGCAGGGAAACCAGAAGGTCCCGGGGAGTTTTGATCCTAAACCCCCCATGCTGGGGTCCAGCTGGGATCCTGACCATGGGGTTTGGCTCCGTGTCCTGCTGGGAGCTGGGAAGGTCCCCAGGGGTGGCAGGAGCCGGGTGGCACTGGGCTCCCCTACAGGGTGGTGGCATTTAGCATCCAGCTGCTGCTGCTGGCTCTGCCCCGGGGCTCTTCTCACTGTCCCTGGCACATCGGTCATCTACAACTGGTTTTCACGGGCTGCACACCACAAACATGCTCACACACATGTTGGTGTGTGCCCAAACACACGTGTGGACTCGCACACACATGGGGACCTCTCCATGCGCCCCAGCAGCCACGTGTGCGCCCTGCAGCCGCGCTCACGCACAAATCTCACGTGCGTGGCAACACTTTGCACGCTGGCACGCCATCCTCTTGCTGCATGTGTGCACACACAGGAGGTCACCCAAATGTGCACACACACACAGGTGTGCACGCACCAACGTCCCGGTTTCACCCCAGCCACGTGCGAGGCGCGCATCGCCCTGCCCGCGCTCGGCGCTGTGCTCGCCGGAGCCTGCCTTGCCCAGCTGTGCTCAAATCCTGGAGCAGCTCCTGGCTGCCGCTGGGGCCTCTCGTCCCCGCCGTCCCCTCGCATGGGGACCTGAGTGCCACGTGTCCCCGCGCCGCTCGGAGCCTCCCCGTCCCCCCCAAGCCCCACGCCGGCTGCTGCACGGAGCCCGGTGGGAGCCGCCGAGCGCCTCGTCCCCGCAAGCTGTGCACGGCGAGGGGGCTCTCCGGGGGGGCCCGCAGCTGCAGCTCTGCTGCTAAGGGATGGGGGGACGTGCAGGCAGGCGTGGAGGCCTCCTGTGTCCCCTAAGCAAGAGGGAACCCCCCCACGCAGGGGTCTTACCCTGCCCCAGGCTGTGCGTGCGGTGGGCTGGGGGTTATTGCAGCCGGCAGAGAGGGTGAGAACCCCCCCGCGGTGACCCCTGCAAGGATGCTGGGGCAGCAGTGGAGGGAAAAAACAGCCTCTGGCTGTGGCAATGCTGCCAGCTCAGCGCTGGTGCCCAGAGTCCAGCTGTGCCCTGGCCCCCCCGGCCCCCCTCAGCACCCTTTGGTGGCCAAACTCATCTCCAAAACGCCGGGAGCTGCGCCAGGCTGTGCACGGTCCCTTGTGAGCTCACGGCCGTTCCCTGGTGCGCTGGGGGGGCTCTTGGACTTGTGGGGACACTTAGAGGGGGTGTCCTGGTGTCTCTGCAGCATGCAGAGGCTTCGCCCTCTGCTCAGGCTTTGGGGACAGCAGTGCCACTTGTCACCGTCCCTGGTGAGGACGTGAAGCCACGGTGGGCACCGCGGCGCGAGGAGAGCAGGGTCCCTGCCCCATGAGTTTAGCCCATCAGGAGCACTTACCCGGCCTTAATGACTAATTAGCATCCAGCACAAAGGCTCCTTTGTTAAAAACTCCCCCTGTCCCATGCCGGGTCGCAGCTGGGGCTGGAGGATGCTCCTTTGGGAAGGACCAGGGAGGCTGGAGCAGGGGGGGGTCCGTCCTCTCCTCCTGCATCTCCGCGTGATGGGAGAGCATCTCCCATGGGAAACGGCTCCGTGTGGGGTGGTGGGACCCCAGGTTTGGTGTGGTGGAGATCACACACAGGTGCCAGGCTTTTTGGAGGTGCCCCAGCTGGAAGCACTTGGGGACAGAGATGTCCCAGAGCTTGGAGACCGCGTGTCCCCCAGCGTGGGTCAATAACGGGGCGAAAGGAGAGGAATTCAGGAGGGAAATGAGGCTCAGAAATGGCCACAGCAAACCTGGCGGAGCTCTGCACACCTCTGGGACTTCCAAAGCTTTGCTTGAAGCCCACTTGATCTCCGTCCTGGGGTCAGTGGTGCTTGGGGATGGGGACACCCCAGCTCGCCCTGGAACAGCCGCGGTTGGAGCAGCTCCGAGGGTCCTGGCTTTGAGTCGCCCTGGTTTCCCCAGCGGGGTGGGAGAGCCCCGAGCTGTATAATTGCTAAGCCTTTTTAAAACCCAGCTTTAAAAGCTGTAATTCTGATATTGTTTGTAATCTGATAACGCCGTGAGCCACTGAGCTCCTAATGTGGCCGGCTTGGGAAGCCACGAGGCTTTTCCCACTAAGCCGAACTATCAGACGGTCGGTTCTCGAGTTAATCGTCTTTCCCCCCTTGGGGACATCAGATTTTGGCAACTAACTTTCTTGCTGATGAGTGCAGGGCCGGTGGGCGAGGAGCTGCACCAAGGGGACAAGGTGGTGGCACCCCATTGAGCCCCGGGGCATTTGGGACGTGGCTTGTCTGCCCCCAAAAGGGCACTGAGGGTTCGATGGGGGCTTGTGCAAAGCTGGGACCCCCGGGCACACGCGCGAGGCACAAAACAACCCAAAAAGACGTTGTTTGGACCTCTGTCCAGCAGCCCAGCAAGCCCTGGAGAAGCTCCAAAAGGGGTCTGGGACAGGCAGGAGGGACCCCAAAAGCCAGGCTGGAGGAGAGGAGCCAGAGAGGGGCTTCGTGCCGAGCACCTCACAGCGTGGGCGAGGGGGCTCCGCGGGGTAGATGTGTCCCCAAACCCTGCAGCTCCCGTGGGTGTTCTCCCATCTGGTGGGCTCAAAGGGAACGGGACCCGAGGGTTTTGGGAACAGGCCAGCCCCTGGAGGGATCTCATCTCCCTCAATTCAGGGGTTTGGAGAGCACCCGGAGCTCCTCAGCTGCTCCCCGACCCCAGACCCCCTCAGGGCTGCCCCACTGCCCTGCTACAGCCCCCCCATGCCCAGCTTTGGGGCCAGGTCCCCTCCCCGTGTCCCCCCAGCCCCATGGGGGTCCCCATCCTGCCGGCTCCTGCCAGCGCGGGGCGGGGAATTCGCGCAAATCCCGGCGCTGGCTCCTCTGAGCCCCTAAGCTCTCCGCCGTGCTCCAGATCAGCCGCGCTTCAATCTGTTTGCAAAGCTGTACAGAGTGTTTACGCAGCGGGGCCGGGGCCAGGGGATTAGGGCCGGCGTTCCCCCGGCATCTGCTCCGTCCATCCCGCATCTCCGGAGCATCCCACATCCCAGGACCGTCTCGCATCCCCGGAGCATCCCGGCTCAGCCAGCGTTCCCAGGGCTGGGGGCACCTCGTTGAGGGAAGCGGGGAGCTCCGGGGGTGCTCCGTGTCCTCCTGGCACCCAAGGGGATCGCCCTGTTAGGGGACCCCACGGTCCTGCCCCAGTGGTGCTGTGGGGTGGCCACCATCCTCCCCCATGCGGGAGTCTCAGAGCCCGTCCTTGGACCATGAAGGACATTTTTGGGGTGTCCCAAAAGGGCTCAGGTGTGGTGCTCCACATAGGGCGAGGAGAAAACCTGCCCCACGCAGACATTTCGGGCAGCCCCGGCTGCGACGCCTGCAATGACAGCTGCCACGCACTGCCCAGCACACAGGCATTTCTTTTTTTAAATTTATTTTATTATTATTATTATTTTCTACAAGTTCAGGAACCTCCCCGCTTAATCCCCAGCAGATAAACTAACAGCGGAGAGATTTGGAGTTATTGACGAAGTCTTGCTGCTCGGCTGAGATTAGAGCTCTGCTTAATCTTGTAGCAGGAGGGTTTGGGGACGGTTTAATCAGAATTTGTACAGCAATAATCCCGTCTTTAAACTCGTCCCTGGCCCAATCCCCCCCCAAATTGTAATCGGGCGGGGGGCTCTCCCATGGAGAGGCCCCCGGGGGTGTTTCCAGCCACAACGATGCTCGGGGGGTCCCAGATTTGGATGCCCAGGGGTCGGAGCTGAGGAGAGGAGGGTGCTGAAGCATCTTTGCGTGCACCTTTGGGTGCTTCTGGCTCCTCCAGCCCTTCCCAGAAGGGGAAACTGAGGCACGGAGCCCCGCAGGGCGGTGTGGGGGGGGTCCCGAGCTGCCCAGCACGAAGCAGAGCGGCTTCCCCCCGCCAGGGGATGGGGACTGGTGCTGGTACAGAGCGGTGGGAAGAGGCCCCCAAAATGCAGGATGCTGTGGGAACGGGGCAGAGCGACCCCAAAAAAACAACCCAAAGCTTGGGGTCTCAGCTGGGCGATGGGTCCGGGATGTCTGAAGGGCTGTAGGACGTGCCAAGGACCCCCCCCTAACTCAGAAATAAATCACAAATCCCCCCGCAAACCAGCTCGCCAGCAGCATCCAGAGACCTCCAAACTTTGCCGCGGCGCCCCAAACCGCTCCCCGCGCCCCTCCGTGCCTCAGTTTCCCCCCCAGGGAAACGGGCGAGCGCCGGAGCCTCGCTCCTGGCGGGGGCTGCGGCCGCCTTTGTGCGGCTCCATCCCTTTCAGGGAGCACAAAGAGGGGAGCCGGCGGCACAGATGGACCCTTTCAGAGGGGAGCGGGCTCCTTTCTCCGTCTGCCACGCCGGGGCTCTGCCTTCCGTCGCAATCCCCCTTAATTGAATCCGCACTTTCATAGCTCATTACCCCCCTGATGGATTGGATTAGCCGGGGCTGCAGCCCCGCCGCCGCCGTCACCGCACGGCCTCGCCGGGGAACAGTTGGCTGCTCCGCGGCCCCCGCGGGGAGCCCGTGCGCCCGGCTTCGGGGCGAGGGGCTTTGTGGGGGGGGTGGGGGGCACAGCCGGCTCCCGGCCGTTAGCCCGAGCCCACGGGCAAGGGACGCGGCCACCGCGTGGCTCCCCAACGGCCAGGGCCAGCTGCGGGCCGGCAGTGCCAAAATCCTCGCCCTGCTCACCGCGCCGTGGCCACCTCTCCGCTTGGTTCCCCCTGATCCGCTCTGAACCCCCCCCCCCCCCCGGTGAAGCTCTGGGGTCTTTTTATCAATTAGTTCGTGGGGAGGGTGTTCCAGGAGGGGCGAAGCAGCTCCGAATATCTCCGGGTTTGGAGCATCCACCCTGCACCTTGGGTGGTTTGGAGACGAGGGGGCTCGGACCCGCACGTGGGGCAGGGTCCTGGCACGTGCCGGTGTCCCCCCCCCCCCCCATATGGGATAACCCCATAAGGGACAACCCCATATGGGATAACGGCCTCGGCTGCCGCTCGTTAACCCCTGCTCCGAGGGCGCCTGCCCCAGCCCAGCTGTCAGCGATGCCCCTGCTCCAGGGGGGGGCTTGGTTCTCCCCCCACCCCATCGCTCTGTGTGCCCCCCAAGGGGGAAGCACTGCGGCTGCAAAAAGGGGATTTTTGACCCTTTCCACCCCTTTCCACCCTGGCTAAGCTCCTAACTGCACCCCAGCAGGATTCGATCCCACTCCTTCATCCCAAGGTGGGCTGGGGGAGAGGGGGGGACACCGCCCCCGGGCCCTTCTAGGTGGTTACCTTTTTTTTTGGGGGGGGGTCATTTTCCCATCTGCTCGTGCTCGGCTCATGGACAGTGAATTTCTGAGCCCTCCCTGAGCTTCCCATGCTCGGGACATCTCCCTCCGGCACCAACCTTGGCGTGGAGCCTCAGGGATGGGGCAGAGCTGCTGGGGGGGGGTCACTTTCTGCCCCCCCCCCCCCAAGGGGCTGAGGAAAAGGAGCTGGATGCAGCACCCGCAGGGCTCGTGGCCGCATCCGTGCTGGAGTTTTTTTTCCAGGAGGGTCCCAGCGACGATGAGGAGGGGGCTGCTCAGGTGCCGCCCGCCCAGCTGGAGAGCCGGCTCCGACATCTGATCGCCACGGATGAAAAAAAAGAAAAAAAAAAAAAAAAGAAAAAAAGTGCCCGAGGCATAAATGGTTTAGCATTTTCCCCTCCGCACCCTCATCCTCTTAGCGAGCCGCGGGCAGCCCCGGCGGGCTCCCCGACCAGATGTGGCCGGAGTCCCATCGGGGCAGTTAGCGCCGGATCGCTTACGGGAGGGGATTAGAGAGCCTCCACTTAGAGTCCCGGTCCCCACGGCCTTTGGGATTAGGATATAACGCAGCCGGCTTTGCTCCGGGGGGGCTCGGGTGGAGCTGGGACCCTCCTCATCCTCACTTTGCCCTGCCCGAAGATGCGGAGGTGTCGGGCTCCTGGTGCCACCCCGCGCTCGCCCCCTTGTCCTGGCCTTTTGGTGGCGGGGAGGGGAACGGAGAAGCAGCTCCTGGACATGGATGAGAGGATTGGAGACCCAAATTCGCAGCAACCCTTCACCAAAATTTGGATGGGGGGGGTCTTGCCTGCCTCCGAGGCAGCTCAGCTCACCCAGAGGAATGGTTTGGGCACGGGCTTCCCGTGGGGGAGATGCTCCAGCAGCCCCTCCGGAGGATGCCCATGCCCAAAAAGCCTCATCTCAAGGGTTCACCTCCCCCTTACATCAGGAGGGGGCACCTCTGCCAAGGAGGGATTTTTTTTTTGGGGGGGGGGACACGAGGGGACAGCCCCTTTCCTCCTCGCTGCAGGGAGCAGAGCGCAGTGGAGCCCCGAGCCTCTCCGGGAGCTCAGCTGCTGTGCCCCCCAGCCCACTTTGAGCCCCCCAGCCGCGGCTGCGCTCAGGTGGGGGACGCTGCCGTGCTGCCCCCCCCCCGGAGAGCATCCATCGGCCCCAGTCGGACGCAGAGCTGGGGTGGAGGGAGGGGGGAAACCGAGTCCCCGAGCTGGCAACAGATGGCTGGAGGCAGCTTGCTGACACCTGCCCCTCCTCTCCACCCCTCTCCTGCCCCTTCCCTTTCTTCCCCGCTCGTTTTGTTCGGTTTCCCAACGCTCGGGGGGAAGCTGGAGGGTCCCCCTGTGCCCCCCCCAGGGGCAGAAGGGGCAGGAAGATGAGAGGAGATGTGGTGGTGACCCTAGGGAGAGGTCTGGGGGGTCCTCAAATTGGGGGTGACACCGCCGTCCCCTCCTGCAGCGCAGGGTGCCCGGTGGAGTGGACCTGGGGGACCCCTTTTGGTCCCCAAAGGGTCTGCTGGGTCCTTGGCCTCATCCTGCTGGTCCTGTGGGTGCAGAAGGGCAGGATCGTGGCCACACCAACCTGCTGGGGGTTTTTGGGGTCCACTCAGCCCTCCCAGCTCTTCCCTGGAGCCTTCCCAGCTCACAGGCCCGAGACCCGCAGCCAGCCGGGCGCGTGCCCACCTCGTTCCTCCTCGCTCCCCTCCTGCCTGCAGCAACCCGGGGATCCCAAATCCTTCTGGAAGCTGCTCCTCAGCACCACCCGAGCATCTCCCAGCCCTGCACCCACCACCCCCACAAAGGCACAAGGTGGGTGACCCGTCCCTGCGGGGTTTCACCTCCGTTCACCCCAAAAACGGGTGCAGGGAGGGCAGCCCTGGGGTGCCCAGCGACCGCGGGGGACCTGAGCTCTCCGTGCCGCCTGGGATCCTTCTGGATGGAGAGGGAAGAAGAGATCCTGGGATGGAGAGGGAAGGGGAATTGGGCAGCCCAGAGGCTGCTGTGTGGGGTATCAAGGCCAGCGGGTGGGCACGAGTGGAGGATGGGGCTGGGGGGGGAGCAGAACCAGGAGGAGGAGCTGGGTCCTGTGCCAAGGCAGCCCCGCAGCGAGCAGCCCCCCCCCCCCCCTGAAACCACCAAAAAGCTTCGGGATGAGCTCCAGCGAGCACGAGGGTACCTGGGGACATCGCTGCCCCCCCGTGCCCTGCCCCACACAATCTGCCCCTTGCCACCCACCCCACCAGCACGGCACCTCCCCGAGCCCCCGGGGCTGCTGCGTGCGTCCCCTGGGAGCGGTGCTGGGGTTTGGGGGGGGGATCCAACAGTGAGGAGCCCACCCGCACCCATCCCAAACGCATTTCTGTAAATCAAGCTCTGGCATGCCCCCCCACCCCCCCCCCAACCTCCTCTCACACCCCTCCTTTTCCCTGCGGCGGGGTTTGGGGGTCACCCGTGACCCCTGGCAGATGGCGCGGGGACGCCCACCCCTTCCCCAGCCGCGGTCGCAGCCGGCCATCTGTCGGGCAGCTCAAATCTCAGCGCTCCTCAGCATCCCCTCCCCAGGCACCCACCGGCGCTGCTGCAAGCCCAGGGGGTGCAGGAAGGCAGCCGGGGGGGGCACGGATAAAATGACAATTGATCCAACACCCCCGAGAGGGTGGCCGTCCTGCCCACGGCACCCGAATCGCCAAGGGGAGGAGGAGAGGGTGCATGGGTAGGGAAAAGGATGGGGTCTGGGCAGCTCAGGGGGCTCAAACAGCAAGGGGGTGGTAGGGGTCTTTGTCAGCCCCCCCCCGAGGGTGCTGGGACAGCGTGGGGAGGTGGGGAATAGAGCTCCACGGGTGCCATCTCCTTTGGCTGAGCTGCCCACAGGGTCTGGGATTTGTGCCCCCGAGCGCAGGAGATGTTGGGGTGCCCGTGCTCAGAGAGCCCCAGGAGCCTGGAGCAGCTCCGGTTCTGTGCTGGGAATGGGGGCCACTGGGGAGGGCCCCCACGGAGAGCACAGCTGGGCTCCGGGAGGAGGATGCACCTTCTGCAGACCCCGATTCCCCTGTGACGGTCCCCGGGGACGCAGCCGCGGGCACACAGCAGCCCCGTGGGTCCCCCGTTTTGGGGGGCACTCTGCAGGGTGAGTGGCACGGGTGGGGGCACCGAGCCTGGCTGGCAAGGGCTTGCTCTGCCAAATGTCCTCGCCCCTCTGGTGGCCCAGACCCTGGGCAACAAGGAGGTGCCCCCAAGAAGCCGTGGAGATAAATGGGGAAGGGGTTCCTGCCACGGTCCTGGGGGGGCTCTCAGCCGTTCGCTGTCCCCTGGGGTCCCCAAAAGAGCCGGGACTTTGCGCACGTGTGCACCTGCGTGGGAAGGGGATATTAAGGATATTTCCCTGCACACATTTCCCCCTGCAGACTTTATCTCCAGGAGGATTGTCCAGGCATTGGATTGCCATGGGATGGGGAAGCCAGGACTATGGGGGGGTCTTCTTGGGGTCTCTGATGGAAGGGAGCACCCCGCACTCCTTATCCGTTTGCACACACATTTATACACGCACTGATGGGGTAAAATAAGAGCAGGGGACGGGGAGGATGGGGTGGCCCCAGGGGAAAGGCGATTTGGGGAGCACCTGGCAGCACCCAGGGGTCCCAACGCCCACCCTGTCCATGGGGCTGGGGCATGGGGGGGTTGGCAGAGCTGCTGGTGCCCACGGCACATCCTGTAGGGCAGAGCAGCAAGAGCAGGGTCTCCAACACCGAGGAGGTGACCGCATCTCCGTCCAGGGTCAGTATTTATTCCGCTCGGGGGGGCCTCTTTCCACTGCAGGTCCCTCTCTGCCCCCTGCTCTCCTGCCACGACTGGGCGATGCATCACTGGGAGGTACTGGGGCTGCTGCCTCCCTCCCCTCGCTGCCTCCACGAGGGCCACAGCCACCTCCGTCCTGCCCCACGTCGGTCCCGGGGCTCCCCCCCTCGCACGGGGGGACAAATCCTGCCCCACACAGGGGGGCTGCAGCGAGGGGCAGCCCAGGGCCCCGGAGCAGTGGGGCTGCGGCCGCCCCGTTCCTCCCAGCCGGGATGGGGGCAGCCTCAGGGCGAGATCACGTAGGCCGTGGCAATGTATTTCTTGCCAGGGCCGTAGGTGGACTTGGTCCAGGTGTAGGTCTGGATGCTGATGCTGTGGCCACCCAGGCTCAGGTGGCATCTGTGGGGACACACAGGGGACACACGTGCCACCCTTGAGCCCCACGTTCACTTCTCCCCCCTCCCCAAATCTCTCCTGGTGTCCCCATGTCCCCTTCCCAATCCCACCCCTGAGCCCCACGCTCACCTCTCCTCCCTCCCCAAAGCTCTCCCAGTGTCCCCATGTCCCCATCCCATCCCAATCCCACCCCTGAGCCCCACACTCACCTCTACCCCCTCCCAAAAGCTCTCCTGGTGTCCCCATGTCCCCATCCCAATCCCACCCCTGAGCCCCACGCTCACCTCTCCTCCCTCCCCAAAGCTCTCCCGGTGTCCCCACGTCCCCATCCCATCCCAATCCCACCCGTAATACCCCCAAAAACCGTGCTGAGCGCTCAGGGGCTGACTCAGCTGCTCCATGGGGAGCAGGAGGGCTCGGTGGCAGGAGGACAGACGGACGGACGGACGCGGTGCCGTACTTACGCCCTCCCAGGACGGGCGATGAAGCACAAGGTGTAGACGCCGAACTCGAACTCGGGGCTGCAGCCGATGAAGGCGGAGCCCACCTCCTTGTAAAAGCCGTCCCAGCTGAACTGCAGCCCCAGCACGTCGGGGTAGGAGTCCCACTGCAGGGCAGGGGAAGGGGGATCGGGGCTGAGACCCTCGGAAGCCGAGCAAAACCCTCGTGCCCTCTCCAGGAGGCTCCCAGCCTCACTCCTGCTCCTGTCTGAGAGCTTCTTTTGCCCTTTGCAACCACCTTCCCCAGATCTCCCCACCCTGCTTCCACCCCAAAATCCATGTAGGGGGGCAGAAGGGTGAGCACCTCTGCCCCATGCACTGGGGGGGTCCCCATTTGCCCCCCTCGGGACGCAGCTGATGGAGCGAGGTCGGGGCTCCCTGCCCAAACCCTCCCATGGTGGCAGCACTCACCGGCCCGTTGTAGTTGTGGCTGTAGTAGTTGACGAGTCCCTGCTTTTCCAGCAGGTAGAAGCGGATCCAGTTGTGAAACCCGCTCACTTGCCCTTTTTTAACCTCCCCTAGGCACAAACGAGACCCTGGGGTGAGCCGGGTACCCCCCGCTGCCCACCCCCTAACCCCATCCCACCGGGACGCGCCGGCTCTACCCGAGAAGACGTGCTCAAAGCCGCTGGAGTCCTTCTCGCCGTTGCCTCGGGAGTAGAGGCCGAACCACATCTCCTTCAAATCCTCGAGGAACTCCTGCTCGGAGCCGTAGCGGTCTGCGGGCAAAGCAGAACGGGGAGGGAGGCAGGGAAATAGGAGCTGGGGGATGGACACGCGGGGACCCCGTTCCTCCCAAGCTCCACACTCACTTTTCTGATGGAGGAAAGCGAAGAGTTTCTTCATCAGCTCGGTCTTCATCACCTCCTGGAGGAAGGTGTCCTGCTCCCTCAGCTCCTCCGCTGTCACCTCCTCCTCCCGACCCGTCGCCCGCTGGTAGTTGTCCAGCAGCCTGATGAAGCTGGCGTAGGTGGGTTTGGAGAAGAGCTTCTCATTCACGAACGCGTAGAGCCTGGGGAGGGGAGGAGAGGAACCCTTTGGAGACCCTTTTGGACCCCTCTCCAGACGGCCAGGTCCCTTGGCACGTGCTGAGGGCGCTGGTGGCAGTGCCGGGGCGCACTCACGGCCGGGGGGAGCGATCCTCCTGGTCATCCGTCTCGTCGGGGGCAGCCCGGTACTGCGGGTTGATGGTGATGTCCTGGGGCCGGGCTTTGTTGTGATCGGCCCCGTAGAGCTGCTCGGAGACCTGCAGGAGCTCCTGGTCGCTGATGGCATCGTGGCTGCTGGAGAAACCCTCTGCGGGGAGAGGTGTGGGGTGACCGCGGGGCGCAAAGGGTGCAGGGGGGTCCCAGCCAGCACCAACCGCACATTTTGGGGACAAGAGCCTTCATTAAGCAAGAGGGGGACATCAGTCCTCGACCTCCAGGCTCAGCACCACCACACAGAGGCTTTGCACAAACGGTGGCAGCACCTCAAAGGTGCCAAAACAAGAGGTGCCAAGCAGCCCAGAGGCACACAGAGGGGACCCAGAGCCACTCACCGCCAGCATGCCTGCGTGCTGCTACCTCGCCCCGTTCCCCACCTGCACAAAAACAACAAAAAGGGCTCAGGGTGCTGGAGACGCAGGCTGGGGCTGCCCAGGACCACGCGCACAAGTGCGCAGCGGCAACGGGTGGATGCCCGCACGGAACCAGCCCTTGGCACCCCAAAGCCGGGCTCCAGCAGCCCCACGGAGCCCCCTCCTCAGGCAGCAGTGCCCACCGGGTCGGCAGTGCTCGTAGTAGTCCTCGCAGCAGTTGTAGTGGCTCTCGCACTCGGCGTCGCAGTGGCACTCGTCCTCCTTGCTGTAGGGCTCCTCGCAGCGCCCCTTGCAGGAGTCGGGGGCCGTGTACAGCTCTTTGGGGGAGAGAAACAACAGCGTGGGCTGCGGGGTGCTCCAGGAGCCCTGCATCATCCGCCCCCAAATCTGGGAGCATCTCTGCCTTCTGCCCAAGCTGCTGCGTGGCTCTGGGTCCTGGCTGGTGGCAGGGGACAGCATGGGGACACCGGTGCTGAGGGTGTCCAGGAGCGAGGAGAGGAGCGAGGAAAGGAGCCCCAGCTGCTCCAGAGCTGGGCCAATTCCTCATTCCCCAGACCATGGGGATGCTGCAGCACCCCAAAACCCATAGCTCAGCGCATTCTCTCCCTGCTCCCATCCTGGGGGAGCCGAAAGGACCAAGCTCCCGCCGTGAAGCTGTCCAGGATCCTTTCCCAATATTTTGGGGTGGCGTTTGGACCAGCTGAGTCCCCAGGACGCATCTCCACGTGTCACTCCCCTTCGGCCACAGCCACGTGCCACCCCGGGGTCCCTGGCAGGTCGCTTGGCACGGGGAAGCACCTTTTTGGCTCCCCACCACTAATTGCCTGCTCTGATTCACCCCGTTAACACCAGGCTCAGAGGCAGCGCCCCAGGCCCAGCCGTCCCCAGCGCGGAGGAGTGCCACATTCCAGACGCCCTCATTTTCTACCCGTCCACCAGTCCTTCCGCCACGCCGGGCAAACTGGGGCCTCCCCGCCGAACTATTTATGTGATGAATACGTCGGGCAGCCCGCGCTTTATTACGCGTTGTGGCAAAGCTAAAAATAACTCAAGCCGTGCTCTGAATAGCACAAATGCCACCTCGCCGAGGGGCAAGGGCCGCCTGCTGCCAAGCAAATTGGGCTGTAGGGGACCGAGGTGGGAGCAGAGGTTTGGTTTTAATTAAGGCACAGCCAGGAGGCATCGTGCTTGGGGAAGGTGACTTTTTTCTGCCCACGATGCTCCTGATGAACGGGGCAGCCTGGGCACGGCTTCCCCGACACCCCCTTGGTGCCGTCACCCCAAGGGATGTGCCAAGAGGCCATGCCCCAGCCGAGCCAGCCTGCAAAGCGGTCCCTGGAGGAGAGGGTGTTGCTTTCCCTTGCAAACCTGCAATCAGGCAGCAGCATAAACACGGCGAGCAACACCTCTGGGTGGCCTGCCTTCGGTTCCAGCAAACGAAACGTGCCCACGGGGCAGATCCTGATCCAGCAGCGCGCAGCCTGACCTCCGAGGTCACCCTGGGTGGCTCCTCTCTGCAGCCACTTCGCTTGCTCTGCTCTTTTCCGTTTTCCCCCAACTATTTGTCGGTTTTGGGGACAGCAGAAACGTGGCCCTACAGGTGATGATTTGGGAGGAAGAACCTCTTTGCCCCAGCAGCCCCTGTTGGCTGGTCTTGCTGCAAGGGACAATCCTGCTTGATTTCATGGGGTGCTCCTCAAGGAGATTCACCCTCGGTGCTGTTTTTGTCCCATTTTCACCCATGTTGATGCAGGGACAACTGGAAAGGGCTGCAGAGGGAAGGGACCACCCGATGGTTTTGGGGACAAGTTTGGGGACTCGTGCGCCCTGGTGTCACCCATCCGTGCAGCAGGACAGCCGGGTCTGGATCCCCAGTGGGCACAGCAGTTGCAATCCCCATGGCACAGCACAGCACCCCTCTCCATCCCAAAAGCAGCATTTGGGCTAAGTCGGGCTGGATGACACATCCAGGCTCGTTTTCCAGCAGGAGGGATTGCGCAAGGCAAGGAGCTGCCCACACACCAGCCAGCACCAAGACGGTCACGGGGCGCGTGCTGCCCGAGCGTGTCGCAGCAAAACCCAGTACCAGGACATGCAGTGACTCAGCCGAGCCTGGGAGCTCTGCAGATCCCTCAGAGGAGTGAGTTCAGCATCAGTTTCTACCACGAAAAACAGCAGCAACAAGCTGAGGCTTCTCCCAGCGCAGGGCACGGGGTTGACTGCAAGAAGCTGCTCGCCTTGCGGAGAGGTTCAAACCTAAACGGAGCCAAGCAGCCGCAGGGCAGCCTGGCACTCCTGGTGGTCAAATTAGAGGAGCTGCAGGAGATTTTGGGGAGAGAAAAGCTGGTGGGAGAGCTCGCAGGGCTGGAGGAGGGCAGCTGGAGCAGGAGGAGGTGGCCAGCCGTGCCCAAACACTGCTGGTGCTGGGATCTGGGTGGGGGGACCCAGGACCATCCTCCTGCCCTCTCCTCCGAGCCATCGCTCCCTGGACCAGCCCCTGGTGTTTCGGCCCTTCCCCAGCAGAAAGCTCCACTTGCCAGATGATGCAAGTAGAGGCCAGATGTGGGTTTGGCAACCAAACCCTTGGAATGGCCCCCGGTGTGACGGGGCTACGCTCAGCCCACGGATATTCTCTGGGAGCACCGAGCCAGACAAAAATCACCGTCAAATATCTCATTTTCAGCTCTCCAGCCAGGCCAGTCCCTGCCTGAACGCAGCTTTTGGATGAGAGCAAACTGCTACTTCGTTTCTGCCAGGAGGTTTTGATGGGGAGAACGCGGGCTATTTCCCGAGCAGCTCCGCTCCCCGAGGTGCGGGGAAACATTTTGGGGGTAATTGGGCAAAACCTCCAGCCACCGTCCTGCCTGGATGAGGATCGGGGTGGTTGTTACACCGCAGAGGTGCACCACTGAGCAGCCAGAGATGCTCCCCAGCTCCTCGTTCCCCCGGGTAGGGGCTGGGGTCCCACCACCTCTCCACATCGCTCCAGAGAGAAATTTGGGGTCCAGTTAGAGGGGGCTGCTCATCTCGTCCCAGGTCCCTCGTCCTGCCCCGCCGGCTCCTCCCCAGCTCCAGCACACCCCGGTGATGCTTCCAAGCAAGGACGGTTTCGGTGCTTTGCATTAAGCAAGACAAGAATACATCAAACTGTCAGGGCAGCCCACCAGCTGGATTGCAAAAGCAACAAGGATTGCAGCAGCAGCTCCTCTTCTGCACCTGCCTTGCAAAATTCCTCTCCGCTCACCTCCAGGTCAGATCCAGCCTGCTGGCGACGTCAGAAAAGTGATGAAACTCCCTTCTTGAGAAGGGATTACAGCTCGCATTTTATGTGAGAACACGGCCAGGACAACACCCGGCCACGTGCAGGATGCTCGGAAACAAAAAGCCCCAAAGCCGATGCCCAGAAGCTGCTCCTTGGCGCAGCATTGTGCCAAAACCAATTTTTTTTTCCTGCTCGCCCACCCGAGCCCATCTCCAAACAGCCTTGGCTGAGCTCCACCTGCCTCGTGCTCCATCCCTGATGCTCCAGGAGCCCCAACCTGGGCTTGCTGCTCTGCCCCATCTCCTAAATCCCTTGTCCCACATGAACCACGTGCCCTTCTCCAGCCAGAGGCCGTGCCACATGCCAGCCAGCACCCGCGATGACGATCTCGGCGTGACGGATGGGATGACCAAACGCCACCAAATCCACTTCCCGGAGCCACCCGACCTGCCCCACAGGATCCCAGCTGATGACCTGGGAGCTGCCAGCACTTTTGGGGCTGTGCGGGCAGATCACAGCTCTCACTCAGCACCCCCGAGGCTTTGCTCACCGACCAAAAGCTGGGACCTGGCTCAGGATGAAACCAGGGCGAGAAGCAACTCGGTGCTGGGAGCCCCAGTTAATCCCAGTGCGCTTCCAGCCCGGACACTGGGGCTGTGCCAGTATAGCCACCCCAACCAGTCCATGCCCAGCCCCAGGGCTGTGGGATGGGCTGTGTGGATGTGCTGGGCTGTCTGGGAGCACAGCGGGGCTTTGGTGGCTTTTTTTGGGCAGTGCTTGTGATGGGCAAGGCACCCCAGCTCGTGCCGTGCTCTCCCTGCAGCCGATGGGCTCCCCTCCAGCATCGGCTGGGAGGATTGGGGGTAAGGTAGCGGGGAAATATTGCCTCTAATCCTCCCCCAGGATGCAGAGGAAGGTGAATTTGGGTGAAGAAAGCCCAGCAGAACGCAGAGGGGAGCAACCCAGGGGGGGGTCACAATGCAGCAAAGAGAAGGACGAAGCCCCCTCCTCTCCAGCTGAGCCCGCAGAGGTGGAGGAACCCCCCGACCACCACCCTCCACCCATTCCCCTACAAACCTCTGCTGGATCCGACCCTCAGCGAGCCCCCAACCCGCTTCCAGCCCCCTCCCCAAGCCAGGCCCTGCTACTCACGGCCGGCCACGCAGCCCAAGGCCATCCCCACCCCGACGAGGAGCATCCAGGGCTTCATCGTCCTGCAGGAGCCGAGCCGGGCGCTTGGGAGCACCCCGGAGAAACCAGCTGGAAATGTGGGTGCTGCTCGGCGCTCCCTGCTATATGTGGGGCCCCGGGAGCCGAGGGAGGAGCCCGGTGCCACCGAGGAGCTCGCGGGCAGGCTGCGCCCCGACTTTGGCAAAGCTCGTTAGGCGCACGTCCTAATTACAGGCTGCCCGGAATGGGAGGAGGGCTGGTAAATCCAGCTCCCTGCGTTGCTCCACTCCTCGCGCCCGAGTTTCCCCCCCCGGGCAGCGATCGAGGAGCAAAGGGAAAGCTTCTGGGGAGGGGGCTCCCTGCCTGCCCACAGCCCCCACGTCCCCATGGATCAGTGCCACAACTCGGTGCCACCCTAGCACCTGGTGCTAAATCCCCTCCTGCCCCCTTGGCACCCTTCTACCCCCGGTTAATTGCAGGGGTAACGACTTCTTGCGCAGCCCCCAGCACAACTCAGCACCACAGCTGCTTATGGGGCTCTGCCCCGAGCCCCAGCAGGAAAATATCCCAAATATCCCAATCCCCTTCCTTCTGGGGGCCGGTTGGGTGTCCGCAAGCATCGCCCTTCCAGGAGAGCGATGGGACCGGCGGCACCCATTGGTGTGCGCCTCAGGGTGCGCCTCGGCTGCTGCTTTTGCCTCCTTTGCCTCCCGTATGGCACCGGGGGTTTCTCAGGGAGCCTCACCCGGAGCCTAAACCCCAGGGCCCAGCATTTTCCTGCTGCACAGACAAAAAAAAACCTTGCTGCAGCACCTCCCCTGCCCACCCCTGCGCCCTCGCCGCCAGCAGAACCAGGACAGGACCTCCCCATGCAGGGAGCATTGCCCCCACCCCAAATTAAGGGCATCGCCCCCACCAACTGCCCCCTCCAGCCCAGAGGAAGGGATTTCTGAGCAGCAAACCACCCGACAGCTGCCTGCAACACACCCTGTGCACGTAGGAGCCTTGCAACAGCCTTAACCCCGCCGGGATGCATCATCTGGCACAGGTGAGCAGCGTTTGGTGTAATAAGGGCCAGGTTTGGCTTCCTCCTCACCCCTCAGTCATTTCCTCCCCCTCCACCCTGGGCCGGTGACCCCGTTGACTTGTCCTTGCTGACAGCAGTTTTGTTTTCTGGGTTGTTTTCACGTCATCCCGCGCTGACTCTGCGCATCGGCTGCCTCTTGTGCCAAGGAGGCTGCTGCCACGCGTGGCTGCTTGAGCCCCATCTGGGTGGGGAAACTGAGGCACGCAGGCAGCTGCGCTCAGCCCAGGCTCAGCTTCTGGGGCTGTGCAGCATCCCAAAGCTGGTCCTGGGGACGTGACACCTCCCGGGGGACCAGCAGGGTACAGGATCGGGGTGGCCCCCTCTGGGGTGGCACAAGCCAGAGCCACGAGGAGCAATGGGCACCTTCCAGCCCAGCACCCCCGGGGCGAGCAGCATCGGTGTGGGGCAGCCGGGGCTCCTTCCCCCCACCCCAGCTCCTGCAAGGGGTGAACCGGGGCTGCTGCGTGGCGAAGAAAGGTGACTGCAGCCATGCATACAAAAATACCTCTATTGCTCGCTGCGTGGGGGCTCCCCACCCTGCTGTCCGTGGCCTCGCCTGCCCGCAGCCCCCCCCCTGGTGGGCTCCTGGCTGCTGTGCTCTGCCAGGACCGGGGCTTTGGGGTCTGGGGCACGGCCGAGCAGAGGCTCTTGGCCAGCTCCAGGGTGTCCCCGTGCGCCCTGAGCCGTGGGGAGCAGAGCTGAGGGCTGCCCCCCATCCGGCACACACACACACATGCGTGCGTGCGCTGCCGCGTCCCCGCTGCGTCCCTGCTCCGTTCCCCTTCCTGCCCGTCAGGACTCCAGGTCTCGGGAGAGCCGCAGCAGCTCCTTCTGGCTGTCAATGGCTTTCAGGTGCTGCAGGTAGGCCCAGGTGGAGACGGGGCTCCGCACGCTCAGGGACTGCTCCGAGCCTGCGGTGGAGAGCTGGGCTCAGAGCCGGGCTCCCTCAGCCCCCTCCATCGCCCCCTGCTCGGCTCGTGCACCCCCTGTGGCCGGACTCAGGGGTCCTGCTCCATCACCTCCCGCTTGTTTTTTGGCTCCCCCTCCATCCTCTTATTGCCCAGCTCACCGAAATCCCCTCTATTTTTTTCCAGCTATTCTCTCTGATCCCCTCCATCACCTTTAGCTCAGCTCCTTGAACCTCCTCCACCACCTCCAGCACGGCACACGGGTCCCCCTCCCTTTCCTCTAGCCCAGCACACCAAAATCCCCCCCCATCACCCCCTTCCCATCCCATGGACCCCCCCATCACCCCCAGGAGCTAGTAGGAGCAGGAAGCAGACTTGCTCCACGGGGCGAAGCAATGCCCAGCTGGGGATGGCAGGGAGCAGGAGCTCGCCCTCCACCCCTGCGCGCCCCAAGGCTCCACCACCCCCAGCCCAATTTTCTTCCCCCTGCAGCCAAGCTGCTGCCCTCAGGGTGCCCCCCAGGGAAGGACGGTGGGCAGCCCACGTAGCCCCAACACCCAACGTACACGTGCTCATCCTGACGGCCTTGGGGTCCTCCGGGCGATGCGGGGAGCGGCTCCGCAGCGGGGACAGTGGAGCTGGGTGCGGAGGGAGAGCAGGAGCTGAGCTACGGCCCCAAGGGGGGGGACCTCAACTTGCCCCCCACCCCAGGGGACACTCACCGTGCGCCTGACCCCGGCAGCGCTGCAGGACACGCACCGTCTTGGCCATCATGTGCTGTGGGCAATGCACAAAGGTCACTTGCTGCCACCCTGGCACGGTTTTGCCCCCCCCCTGCAGCTTGAGCAACAGCCACCCCGTGACCCCCACCCCATCAGCAAGGGGGTTCTGGTCCCCGGAGGAGGGGGGGGTGTTTGTGATGTTGTGTGGATGCTCTAGGTCTGCCTCCCCAGAGGACAGCAAGGAGGGACCCCCCCGGACCCCCCCGGCACTCACCATCTTCTCAAAGTTGATGAGGTTCTCGGCCAGCGTGCGATTGCCCTCGTGGATGAAGGTCATGTCTGCAGCAAGGGGGGGGGGATTTGGGGATCAGAGCGAGCCCCCGGCTCGGTTTCCTGCTCCCTGGGGAGGGCTGGGTGCGTGCAAAGGGCCCCCAGAGCTGCGGCACCCACCTTTGAGGAGGAGGGGGACGAAGGGGATGATGGGGGGGCTCAGCTTGGCGACGGCCAGGCGATAGACCCGGTGGTTCCACGACGGGTCCTGGGGACAGAGCGGGAGCTCAGTGGGGTGGGGGTCTCCAGGGGAGGGGGCTCTGGTGCCCTGATGCTCGGCACGGCCCCAAATTTGGGAGAAGGGAGTGCCCCCCCGCTCTACCCCCTGCCCCAACCCCATGCCCCCTCCCCAGCTCTGCACAAAGTGTCCGCGCTCACCAGCATCCTCTCCAGCGCTGCGTGCAGCTTGCGGATCTTGTGGGGCAGCCTCTGTGCGGAGAGGGGGGGTCAGGATGGCCCCATGCATCCCCCCAACTACACCTGAAGCCCCCCTTAAATCTAGGGGCACCTCCGAGCCCCCCATCCCAGTGCCCCTCTCCGGGCTCCAAGCTTGCTCCAGGGGAGCTTGGAGCCCGTTTCCACCGCGGTGCACGGATTTGGGATCCAACCACGGATGCACAGGTGGAATCCTGCCCCCCTACACCCCCAAACCTTTTGGGGTCAGCTCGGATCCCAGCAGCCCAACCACCCCAATCCCTTTTTTAGCCCAGGGGACCCGGCTCTGTCCCGGGGGGGACCCAATTACCTCCCAGGTCTTGGCGAGGCGGCTGACGGCCGTGTTGCTGACCCCAAACATCACCGCGAAGAAGGAATTGAGGTTCTTCTGCTCCTTGAGGCTGCGGGCAGGGCTGGGCTCAGCTTGGAGACCCCCAGCCGGTCCCGATGGTGACAGGGACGGGGACGGGGACGGGGACACTCACTGCGCAGCCAGCTTGATGAACTTGCGGAGGAGCTGGGCTCTCCTGCCCACCTCGGGGCAGAGGCAGAGCTCCGTGGCCACCCAGTACTGCAGCTCGTTGAAGCGCCGCATGACGCGCTCCAGGTTGGCCGTGGTCACCTCGTGAAACTGCTGCGGCCCCACGATGTAGTGGATCATCTCCACCTGCGGGGCCGGCGGGGGACCTGAGGGTGACCGAGGGGGTGGCCAAAGGGGGGGGGGTCTCGGGGGAGGTTTCCCCTTCCAGGTGCCGGTCCGGGCGCTTGCCCTGTACCTGGTGGATGCTCTTGAAGAGGTTCCAGTCGTAATCCGTCAGGTGGCTCGCCAGGTCCTTGGAGCTGATGAGGTCCAAGGTCTCCGAGGAGCCAACGTGGGGGCCCAGCTGCTCGGGGTGGGGGGTCTGCACGCAGGGGAAGGGTGAGGGGCTGGGGTCGGAGCCATGCCCCTTTGTGGCTGGGCTCACCGAGCCTCCTCCATTGCTTCTAGGTAGGCTCGGGACCCCCCTGCAGCACCTCTGGCTTGCCCCATGCCCCCCCTTCATCGCCTCCAGCCTGCCTCACTGCTCCTCTTCCTCTGCTGCCTCGGGTTCCCCCATTGCCCTTCGCTCAGCTCACCAAACCCTATCCACCACCTCCAACATGGCTCATGGATGACCCTATAAAGCTCTGCATGGCTCCTGGATGACCCTATATTGCTCAGCACGACTCATGGATGACCCTATATCAGCATGGGTCATGGATGACCCTATATAGCTCGGCATGGCTCATAGGTCCCCCTACATAGCTCAGCATGGCTCATGGATGACCCTAAATTGCTCATGGCTCCCTCTCCATCACCTCTTGCTCATCCCACTCAACCCCCCCCCACCTCTATCTTGGCTCCTGGACCCCCCCATCACCCCCAGGACCCACAGAGGGACCAGGAGCGAGCGGGAGCAGCCTCGCTCCACGGGGCCAAGCGATGCCCAGCCCGCTTCCCACCCCCCAGAGCAC